TCTTCTTCTTCTTCTTCTTCTTCTTCTTCTTCTTCTTCTTCTTCTTCTTCTTCCTCTTCCTCTTCTCCTTCCTCCTCTTCTCCTTCTTCCTCTTCTCCTTCTTCCTCTTCTCCTTCTTCCTCTTCTTCTCCTTCTCCTTTCCCTTTTCCGTCTTTTCCTTCACCTCCTCCTTACAGTTACAAAGTTTTTCACTGACGTTGCCTGAAGGAGGTAAAAAATGATAGCTGATTTTGTTTTTTCTTTTTCCTGAGGGGCAAGCACCTTCCCTCTAAAAGGAAGGAAGCACACACACACACACACACACACACACACACACACACACACACACACACACACACACACACACACACACACACACACATCTTGTACTCTCTTTGTCTCTCTCTTTTTCTTGTCTCTCTTATAATCTTTCCTAAAAATTCTTTGAACTATATTCATCATCGAACTGACATCTTAACAAAATGCATGAGCATGTGTACCCTGCAAAGTTTTCAACACATGAATGTTTGTAGATGGTTGGCAGGTACGCTGATGGGGTTTGCTCTTTCTTCCCTTCAAACAAATGTTACCCTAATCTTTGACGATAACTTGACCTATTTGTGTTGCAGTTGCTGTAAAACTCTTAAAACAGCTAAAAATCTCCTCTATTCTTTGGCAATCACATGACCTTCTTAGTAAACCTGTAAAAAAAATGACCTATTTGTGTTGAAATTGCCTCAAAACTCTTACTAAATCTTTGAAAAACTAACCTAGTTGTGTTGCAATCGCAGTAAAAATCTTAGTAAACCTAAAACAAAATCTAACCTATTGTGCTGCAAGTGTTGTAAAATAAATTTTTTACAAAAATATATTTTAGTTGCAATAGCTGTAAAACTCTTTAGGAAACCTAAAAAAAACAACTGACCTCTTTGTGTTGCAAGTGCTGTAAGACTGTTACCACAACCACCCATTTTGTCCTCCCACTCAGCAGGTGGTTGACGGGTGCTCTGGTGTGGTTTGCTTCTTGCCTATCAAACATCTATTGCCCTGATCTCTCCTACTTCTTTTTTGTGTTTGTTACTCTCTTGTAGCACCTCTAATCTTCGACACTTAAATGACCTTATTGTGTTGCAAGTGCCGTTAAACTCGTACTAAGACTATCTCCCCACCGCAGCGCGTCGAGCGTGGGCGCAGGTCGACAGATGACCTTCCGACAGCTAGAGGACACCATCAACAAGTGGACCACAGAGCTGGAGGAACAGGAGAAGAATTTCCTGGATCAGGCCACGCAGGTCAACGCATGGGACCTCATCGTCATGGACAACGGGGACAAGGTCGGTTGCTGTTTCTTTGTTGTTGTTGTTGTTGTTGCTGTTGTTGTTGCTGTTTCTTTGCTGTTGTTCTTGTTGCTGTTGTTGCTGTTCTTGTTGTTGCTGTGTGTGTGTGTGTGGTAGCCTATCCGTTCGAAATGTTTGGAGCCCCGAAGAGCGTGCTCTTCGCCAGGGCCACCACCTCCCTTGGGTAGCGGGTGAGGCAGTCCAACCTCCCTGAATCCCCCCGAAGAGATGCCACCGCCCATTTTGTGGTTTGCTTCTTGCCTATCAAACATCTATCGCCCTGATCTCTCCTACTTCTCTTTTGTGTTTGTTACTCTCTTGTAGCACCTCTAATCTTCGACACTTAAATGACAACTAGGTTAGTCTTGTTGCTGTTGTTGGTGTTGTTGTTGTTGCTGTTCTTGTTGTTGTTGTTGTTGTTGTTGTTCTTCTTCTTCTTCTTGTTGCACGATACATGGAGTACTAAACCGCTATACGATCACGGTCAGGTCAAGGTCGGTCGTTGTTGTTGCTGTTCTTGTTGTTGTTGCACAGGGCATGGAGTACTAAACTCCTATACGATCACGGCCAGGTCAAGGTCAGTCGATGTTGTTGCACAGGGCATGGAGTACTAAACTCCTGTACGATCACGGCCAGGTCAAGGTCAGTCGATGTTGTTGCACAGGGCATGGAGTACTAAACTCCTGTACGATCACGGCCAGGTCAAGGTCAGTCGATGTTGTTGCACAGGGCA